AAGAGCTGCCGCGTGATGGTCTGTACTCCTACAGCCAACCTCCCATGGCTGGCCAATCTCCCGCAGTCCCACTCCACCCCTGCTGGCACACCCAAAAAGTCCCTGATTGTCCTCAATTGCTGACCAGGCCGAGGGACCCCATCGGTGCATGAATTTGTGCACCGGGCCTCTAGTGTTTATATATTTGAAGAAGAAATAGGATCCCTTGATAGTATGCATGAGATTAGTTAATATTACTGTTATGTGGTATTAGATTTCAATCATTTCTGGAAAGAAAATGTCATTACAAGACTATCTTCATTTAATTTCCAATCCACAATGTTGTGCACTTATTTTCAATGACATCCATTCATTTTAAATGATATTTTCTAGTAATCTGCATAGATATGTTTCATTAAAATAAAACAAAGATAAACAAAAATGAGAAACATATAGGAACCATCATGAGGCATGACCTTTCTAATTGGATTATAATTATATAGAAGCAACTTAATAGTCATTGCAGGAGGGTTGTCAAAAAGATGCAAGAGAATCAAAATTCACTTTTCCTGGATAAGCACACATCTAATTAAATGTATTTAGAAAAGGATTACTAAAAGAGAAATGTTTCAGCCAAGAAATTGCTTTAATCCAAATTTATTGTTTATTGCTTAAATATTTGAGTAGGAACTTTCAGTGTAATTTATTAAATACCCATGTTAAAGTTAATAATTATATGAAGAGTTTTATATATGTGTTTAGTAGTAAATTCTTGACTATCTTACAACTGTATCATGGAACTATCACCATAATATGAACATTCATATCATGTAAAAGACTCTCATTGACTAAAATGACAGTTTAATTAAACATTAGAATCAGAATAATTGAGTTTATTTTGCCTTTAGAACACAGTTTAATATGACTATTAGGATTCTTAAAAAGGTGGTGTTTATTATGTCAATGTATTCTTCTCTATAAGCTTGGATATCTCAAATCTTAATTTAATTGACTCATAGTCCATTGTAACTTAGGACAAGCTAAACAATCATTCTTTGTTAGATCTTCCAGCCAGCTGCAAGGAACATATTTCTTCCATGTTTGCTACCTCTTGGCATTAAACCCTTACAGTAGGCTGTAAGTGCTCAATTAAACTTTTTATTTTGAATAGTGGATAAGTAAATGAATGAATGCAGTATTTCAAAAGTCATATTTTCAAGGATTTTTTTCTAATATGTAAAGCTAAGTCATATTTTAGTGAAGTACTACTTTTCCTCTTTCCTTCTATTATTTTTTTCTCACTTCTTCCTTCTTTTTATCTCTTCCTTCCATTCCTTTCTTCCTTCCTTCCTTTTTACCTTCCTCCTTCTCATCACACTTCTTCCCTAATAATAGTATAGTAGCAATAAACTAAAAAATATAGAATGGCATTTTTAAAAAAATATATTTTATTGATTTTTTACAGAGAGGAAGGGAGAGGGATAGAGAGTTAGAAACATCGATGAAAGAGAAACATCCATCAGCTGCCTCCTGCACACTCCCTACTGGGGATGTGCCCGCAACCAAGGTACATGCCCTTGACCAGAATCAAACCTGGGACCCTTGAGTCTGCAGGCTGATGCTCTATCCACTGAGCCAAACCAGTTAGGGCTATAATGGCACTTTATTTAATTATTTCCCTTTACATAATTTTAGGCATACTTTATTTTCTAAATCCTATGTATTTTATGTCATAATTTTGATAAATTATATTTAACTATCTTTCTCAGCAAAATATTATATGCAGATTGATAAATATAGAAAAGTAGTTAGTTTACATAATAGGCTGAAATAGTGTTTTAAGCATATGAAATATTACTGTAGGTATAAAAAATAAAAATTCCTCTTCATCTGTTAAGTATGCCTTAATATGTTTAATTCATATTCCTTTAATAAAACTCAACAGTACATTTTGTTGGAGTCATTTAAATTACTGATCTTTAAACAAAGTACTGCAGAGTAAAAGGGAAATACAAAATGGATTTTTAGGAGAACAACCAAAACAAATTTTACATTGCCATTTTTGAATGGTTATTGATATTATGATGAAAATGTAGGCATAGCATATTTGTACTGTTTATTTTATATTATTTTAATTAAATTAAAGTTGATATCAAGTTAGAAAATCCACAAAGCACCTATTACTATGGAAACCATTTAATTATATGCACTCAAATTTCTACATAACCTCTGATGGAAAGTTTTCTCTGTCCTGTTTTTGTTGTGTAATTTCATACACTGTTTCCTTCCCTAAAGGAAATACTTACTTGATTCAGTTCTTGATAAAAATGACCTGTCACTAATGTTTGCTTTAAAGGGTTTTTGCTTTTTTAACAACAAAAACACTGAATACTGAAAGAAAAATCAAGGCACAAGGGATTACAGATCAGCTGCTGTGGTATAAATCAATATTTGAAATGCATAATGGTGACTTTTCTTCCCTCCAAAGTAGGAATTTTTTGTGCTTAATTTCTTGTTTTATTAAAATGTCAAACTGTGTCTAGGAAGGCCTTCAAATTTAGCTTTGGTTTCTATTTAAATGTACTGCTCAATAACTAGTACAAGAACATTAATACAATTGCACTTTATGTTTAATTCCTGTGCCCTGTTAGGGTTGCTGAAACTGGCGATTTCATGAATGGACAACTACCATACTCCTGGCTATGTTAGGGAATCCGGTAACTCTCTAATCTCCTACCTTCAGCAAAGGGGATTGGTATGAAAAATCTCCAACCAGTCACACCTAGAAACGCATCATAATCATCATCCTTCTTAATATAAATGTAGGGGCAGACACGTCTTCCCTTCTTTAAGAAAAAAGCCTGTATTGTTAAAAGTATTACATGTCCCCTTTTTCCTCCCATTGACCCCTTGTAGTCCGCCTTTGCTTCCTGCCCCCGGCATCCACCACCCTATTGTCTGTGTCCATGGGTTATGCATATGTCATACAAGTTCTTTGGCTGATCTCTTCCCACCCAACCCCATCATCTTCTCTTCTCCAAACAGATTTTTGTAGGACAGTAGCCTTTGGATATAAGTCCAGTAATCCCTCCTTAACGGCAGTTTCTCTTTCTCTGGTTCCAGTTACCCACACTCAATCCTGGGCCAAAAATATTAAGTAGAAAATCCCAGAAATAAACAATTCATAAATATTAAATTATGTGTCATTCTGAGTAGCATGATGAAATCTCCCACTGTCCCAGGATGTGAACTATCCTTTTGTCCAACTTACGAACACTGTGTATGCCTCCTGCCATGAGGTCACTGAGAAGCCTTCTTGGTTAATAGACTATTCAGGTAGTGCTTGTGCTCAAGTTACCCTTATTTTCATTAATGATGGCCCCAAACCACAAGACCACAAGAGTTGTGATGCTGGCAATGTGGATATGCCAAAGAGAAACCGTAAAGTGCTTTCTTTAAGTAAAAGGTATGTATGGGGGGGGGGGTGCACAGTATACATAAGACTCTGTACTATCCCTGGTGTCAGGCTTCCACTGAGGGTCTTGGGAAGATTTCCCCCAAATATAGATAGACTGTATTTCCTTATTGCCTAAATTCTTCCAAACATTTTATGTTATGATTTATGTACTAAAAGACTTATGCCTTCGAATTCTCTTTTAGCATTTTATTCCACTCTCAGTTTGCACTGAGAAGAGTTCTCAGTCTGACGCTACACACCAAATGCACCGATTTTGCAACCCTGGTCCCCTGTACTGAGGTGCCCACCTTCCCGATTTCTACTGCCTGCCTCTGGCCCCCGGGGTGGGGTACTGCCGGAGGGTATGAATGACAGCATCACAATGGAAGTGTCAGATGGTGGCATCATCATCCTTGGACGCCAGCATCCCTGTTACTTCGGTGTCTCACTACAGAGACACTAAGGCTAAAGGTTAAAGGATGCGGTTTATTAAATAATTCAAGACATTAACCTTCAACCTGCACACCGATGGCAGCCTATGAAGTTTACGCTGCTATGATTCATGTTTGGTGCTTACTGATGCTAAAGCATGATGCCTGTTTGCTTTCCTTCTATTGCTACCCAGTAATGCGGTGGGGAGAATGAAAAGGGGGACAGGACCCACGCCAAGGGACAATAAGAGCAGCAGCTTCACTTGCATAAAGAAGATTGAAGCCTTCCGCCCTCCCTCCATCTCTCCGCGTAGGCCCCAGTGCACAGCTGCGTCACTTACGGGGAGGAGGAGGCGCTGAGGCAGGGAGAAAATTGTATTGTGAGGACCTTGACAGCGTTTCCTTTCGCCTCCCTATATTTTCCGGAATATTTCTTTTCCTCTCTTACAAACTGACTATATAAAACCACCCCTTCCTTCTCCACCTCGCAGAAGGCATTTGACTTTCTCAGAAACACACCGGGCACGCTCTCAGAGCATCTCAGAGGGGCGAGGGACAGGGGCGCAGGTGCACTCAGCAGGCTGGGTGAGGGGAGCGCTTCTTGGAGACTTGGGGCTCTTTCTCTCTCTCTCCCTCTTGGCGCTCTCCAGGCGCTGAACTCAGCTGCAAGGACTGGAGACCCCACACCTTTCCAACTGAAGCGGTGCCTCGGGCGCCTCCCAGGGCGGTGTATCCAGCTGCCTCCACCTCCCTGAGCTCCGGAGCGCTCGGACCTCCCTCTCTCCCGCGTCTCCAGCATCAGGGTCGTCCCTCCCACCGCAAGGACGGAGCTCCTGAGCGGAGATCGGGAAATCTCAGCCCTCAGCTTCCCTCTCCCGCCTCTGCTCCCGGCCGGTGGGCTCCCCACGCGCAAGTCCTGCAGACCTGACCGCCGCCGAGCCGCTCAGCTCTGCTGTCCGAGCCCCCGTGGTCGCCTGGCGGAGCGCGCATCCCGCCTCGCTGCGTCGCCTGCTCCGGGTGCGGAGAGCACACCCAGCCTCGTCCTGCAACCCCGGGCTCCGCGGGCTTCCCCCGCCAGCCGGCCCGTCCACCCCCGCGCCCGCTGAGGTGCCTGAGCCGTCCTTGCATCAAGCATGTCGGGCTCTGGACGAAAGGACTTCGATGTGAAACACATCCTGCGACTCCGCTGGAAACTCTTCAGTCACCCGTCCCCGTCCCCGGGCGGCCCGGCGGGGGGCGGCTGCTTGCAGCAGGACGGCAGCGGCAGTTTCGAGCATTGGGGACCCAGCCAGAACCGCCTGCTCAAAAGCCAAGAGAAGGGCAGCGTGAGCACATTCTGGAAGAAGCCTTCTTCTTCTTCCTCCTCCACTTCGTCTTCCTCCCCATCCTCTTCCTCCTCTCCCTTCAACCCACTGAATGGCACCCTGCTGCCGGTGGCCACGCGGCTGCAGCAAGGGGCGCCCAGGCAGGGCACCCCACCGCCTGCCAGGACTCTCTTCTACGTTGAGTCCCTAGAGGAGGAGGAAGTGCCCGGCATGGACTTTTCTGGGCCGCACGAAAAAGGGCTGGTCCTGCAGGAGCTCAAAGTGGAGCCGGCCAACTCGAGCCAGGCAACAGGTGAAGGCTGTGGACACAGGTACAGTCAGTCCCCACGGGACATCCAAGCATCTCCCACTTTTCACTCCTTTCCCTCACCCCATGTGTGCTTTGCTACTTAGTAAGTCTGAAAGGTTGCAGGTTGAACATTTTGGTCCAGAGATGCCAGCAGGGTTTTCATGTCCCAAGTTGTCATCTCGTTAAAAGTTTGTTCATTAATTTCTACCGCTTCAAACATACTGCTTTCCTTTGGCAAGTTCTCTGAGCTGTAAGCAGAAATTGAACATAGATTCACTTTGATAAGTCTCTAGGGGGAGTGGTTCTCATGTTTCTGAGGATACAGCATTTTCTGTCATTAAATTATATCAGTCTTCCAGTTATCTGATGTCAGGTGAAACGTGTTTAACCACCACTCAACTGCACCTTACAGACTGGCCTAATAACTGACTTAGCAAGTTATCAGGGATCCCTGTGGCTTGAATCTATATTCCAGGAGGAATGAGGTGCACAGATGAGTAGCCTCCTGGACAGTAGCATTGTCTCCCCCCCAACCCCCATCCATGAAATAGAGTGTTATTCTCCATCCCAACTTCTTTTTATCCTTTACTTTTGCCTTGTTCCAAGTCTTAGAATTGAACTGTTGCTGAGCCCACTGACTTTCAGCGTTTCTGATTCGTTGGCTCAGTATGGGATTGTGTATCCTTACCAAGCAGGTCAACATCATTTCTTGTTTATTTCTAATATTTTACCCCTTTGGGTAGAGTTCTACTTTCAAGACTTATAGAAAACCTTCACACGCATGAAAATTCTTCAAAGTTTTACATTTTTGGAGAATGACTCATTACTCTGCAACAGATAATTACTAGGTTTGGCATGTAGGGAGGATATCAAAAGATCTGCATTTGTCTTATGTGATATCAAAACACATATTGAAGATACATATAGGAGAAACAAAATGATAATGAGTATGTTAATAAAAACTAATTACCTAACAAATTAGAAACAGAAGCAACTTTTTAAACTTGGCTGATTGAATCAGCTTCTTGTGAATTAAGTCACAGATAAATACATAAAACAAAATCATATGTATGTGTACTTTAATTATGTTGACAAATGTGAGTGTAGAGATATAAAGAAATCCTTGAATTGCTTCACTTATATGGATTATGTTGGTTTAAATTTGAATCTTAACAGCCTTGAACATAATCACAAAATAAATGTGAGATAATTATTTTAAAGAGGAAGTAGTTTAATTTGCATTTTTCAAGTATGTCAAAGTTTTATTCCCCCCCCCCACATATAGGAAATCAAATGTAAGTTTATTTATTACTCAAATAAGATATTTTACCAAGAAGGTTAGAATTTTGGGTGCCAATAGCACCATGAAGTTATTTGATTTATGCATTCACTCGTTACCTGTAGTTTTAGACCTATTTATTATTTTTTTAAATAAAATATGTTGGGTTTTACCCAGTTTTGGCAATCATTCATAAACATTTACCAATTCACCTTATATATTTAAAAGACAGGTAAAACATTTACTAATTGCTATTTTATTGAAATTGATATATTGTGACTCAGTTCAATAAAAAAGTAGATGAATTATTTTGTTTTGTGATGTCTTCAAGTCAGCTTAAAATATTTGATGTTCTGGGAATATTAATGTTTGATCATTTAAAAGACAATTTGCTTTATAACAAATATAGTTGTATGTAAATTAGTCAAATATGGCATGAGTAATTTCTGAAAGACTTTCTTGTAAGTTGGAGGATTTGAAAATATTAATGGAATATTGACATAAGAAATTATAATAAAAAATAAAACCAATGACTGATAGCTCACTTAGGGAAAACACCATCAGAATTAGCTTCCAGTCTCCCCCCCCCCTTTTTTCTAAATATACATCAGTGTTTTTATTCACAAAGAGTTTTAAGTGAAAAGTATTCTGAAAACAAGCTTAACACCACCTTAAATCATACTTACTATTGGAATGGAAGTCTCCTATGGGATTTTGTATATGTAAAATATAAAAATCAAATTTTATTTTATTTTTAAATTCTTATTAATGCTTAAATCCTTTAGATTAATTTAAATTTCTCACTGGACAAACAAGTTAGCACTGGTTTGTATTCTCAGGGGTATAGTATGTACCTAAACCTTCATAGAACATTGGTTCTGTTATCAAGATTGATTGAATTTATACTACTAACCTTGATAATTAGTCATTATCAATATTATATTAACATATGGTAAAAATAAGGTTCATTTCACAGAAGAGACAGCATTTCCAAAGTTATATACTGAATGGAAAATAATAAAGTAATTTGTAATGTTGATTTACTTTTGTTTCTTATCATAACTTATGCAGCAAATCGAGATAATGTTTATAATGATGAATGAGTACATAAACTATATAAACCCTGCGTGATAATCTTGATTACTGGGGTCATTATTATATCATTGTACTGTGATGTCAGTGACTTGATATTTAGCAATTAGTTTTATCAAGTCTGACTGCTATGCTAAAAAATATGTTCATATATACAGCAAGAGTTGGCCTCTTTTTTGTTCTCTTCCTGCATATTCTGATCTCTCTGCATTGATTTAAGTTGTTGTTCAAACAACAGCTGAAGGCTGCTCAGGGAAAAGCTGCCCATATTCTCAGAATTCTAGAAAGGTCAAATTATCATGGAGGTGAAACATAAAGGCAGCAGTAAACTAATTTGATGCCCAAACCCAGCCTTTATCTTATTCCACCCTGTCAGACATACATACACAAATCTCAGTATTCTAATACCTCAACCATTATAGCGTTAAGAATTCTAACTTTTACAGTAATAGCTTCCTGACCTATGCTTTTAATCATTTTTCTCTACTGTCCACACTTAGTTGTTGGAAAGTGTATAAAATCCCAGCTATTCAGATCAGCATATGTATTTTGATATGAATAGTTTTGTCCAAAATTTATATGTAGTAAACTGAGAAACCAAAGAGAAATATTTATATTATTGCAGTGTGTACAGAGATATCATGTTTGACTGCTTATTTTTTGATTTTCTAAATTCTCACAGAATGCAGTCATCTGATTCCATGGTTTTAGTTACCATCCCTAAACTCTATTTCTATATTTGCAATTCAAAACCTAGACTTCCCTCTGACCTGTGGTCTGACAAATCCACCTCTCTGCTTAACCCCTGTGGTGATTATCACAGAGACAGCATAAATACATGTAGAAAATTGAGCTCATAATCTTCCTTCTCTTTGCTCAATGTCCTTCTTCTCTGTCAGAGGATAGCTCTCTATGCATTGGTTTCTGTAAACCAGAAATCTGGGTCTTACTTGCCCAAATCCTCTTTCCCACAATTTTCAATATTTCACCTAGAACTGTCACTTTTACTTGAAAAATGCCCCCATATTTGTCCCACATCTCTCCATCTCCATTGTCTACACCAATTCTAAGATATTGTCCTCTTTCAACTCAACTGCCATCTGCATCATATTCCTTCATTAATTTTGCCACCTGTAATCCATTCTCCTTACTAGAGTCAATGAAAATTATATTAAAAGAAAATCTGAACTATTTTGCCACATCCCTGGCTCTCCTCCCCCTGATCTACAAAACATTTCTACCATCCTCTGACCTCAATCCATACTTTGGGCATCTGGGCCTTGAATGATGTGTCTCTTATCTGCTAGCGAGGCCCTTCAATCACCAACCCCCCTATCACCCTCTGCCTTCAAGATTCCATGTGGTTCTCTATCATTTTCTCTGCCTCTGGGCCTCACAAACTTTTTACCTCTATTTGTATAGTGACTCCCCTTTTCTTAACACAACCTTTCCTGAGTGTATTCCTATTCATCATTGAAATGTCTTGCATAAAGGTCTGCACCTTTCTCAGAGAAGCATTCATTAATTCTCCCAGGCAAATTTTTAACTTAAAACATTTTTGGAATATGCAATCCTCTTGTTGTATGTTCTTTGAATAACTGCTCTCTACCTTTTAATTTCTTATTGTAGCTTATAACCATACATTCTTAGTTGTGTTGCTTTTATTGTTTGTTGTTAACTACAGTTGCCCAGTGGCCAGGGTGTTTGTTTTGGTCATCATTTTATCTCTATCCAAGAACATGTAGTTACTCAATAAATGCTGTTGTGTGAATAAATATTTTTCATAATAATGAGTGACATTGATTACAACCTGGTTATTTGGCAGGTAGCATATTGAATATTTGTATTGTGTAATTTAATATTCAGAATCACTCTATGATTCTCATACAATTATATATCCCTTTGGAACAATGATTACATAAATGAGAAAACTGAGATATAAACAGGCAATTTGCCCAGAGTCACAGACTTTTAAGTAATATAGCTAGAATTTTTTTGTGATTCAACTTTAATTTTTTTTGTTCTAATTCATTTGTTCTTTTATTACACAAGGTCTATTATACTTTGTTGAATGTATATTTTCTTTTTTTTCTTTATTGATCAAGGTACTTCGTATGTGTCCTTATTCCCCCATTGCCACCCGCACCCCCACTCATGCCCTCACCCCCCTGGTGTCTATGTTCATTGGTTAGGCTTATATGCATGCATACAAGTCCTTTTACTTTATTTTTTAATAAACTTATTGGGATGGCATTGGTCAATAAAATTATATAGGTTTGAAGTGTATGATTCTATAATATATTATTTGTATATTGCATTGTTTGTATACCATAAACAGTCAAATCTTCTGTCACCGTCTATTTGACTCAGTTTACCCTTTACTACCTCTGCTGGACTTTTAGTCTTTGCTATCTGATCCCAGACACCATATTTTTCAGGCCACTTTGCCAACTCTCCTTTCCCTCTGCTTAAACAGATGAGTGGAACATAATAAAAGAGGATCTAACTAAGGCTATTATAAAGCAGTTCTTTTTATTCCTTTGGTGGAAGTTATGCTTGTTTGAATGTGTATAAAGACTTATTAACATGACCCTAATGCCCAATGCCTTCCTTATAAGTTTCAAAGAAGACTTCTCAGCCCAAATTAGAAA